AGAATTAAATACTCAATTTCTAAAACTTCTTGTGCTTGCGTCACTCAATGAAACTCGTCTAGCAAAACTTTCCTCTTTTTGGATTGAAAAGGTATTATCCAGTAGGATTATCCAGTTGGATTATCCGGTAGGATTAGCCCCCAAAGAGTTTAGAAATTGAGAAATGGTAATTTGCTAGCAGAAGTGGAAAATAAAAATAAAAAAAAAAAACATGCAGAAAGTTTAATCACGATGAAGACTTTCCATAACATCAAAATAAAAACCTTCCCTCATGAAAGACTGAACACTTCTAAGGGAGTCATTAGAAGCAGGGAGTTGTTTCTGGCCACACCCGAGGAAATCACACCTGACTTAGAAAGCCTTAGGGCCAGTAATTACCGTAGAATCACGATAAAAAAAGGAATAGAGAAATTATAAAAATAGAGACATATATCCTTCCTTTTGTCACATTTGAAATCCCTAGAAAAATAAAAGTCGGGTAAAATATTGAAGAAATGGAACAATATATTCCTGCTCCACTAAGGTGCTTCAAGTGCCAAATATTTGGGTAGGTTAGGGGTAGCTTCAGGAGTCGCCCAACATGTAGAAAATATGATCAGAGGGATTCAGAGGACACAGAAGAATGCCATTATGAAGTAAGATGTGCTAACGGCCAGGAAAATCATCCAGCAGACTCATAATCATGCGACTTCCGGAAAAGGGAAAGAGAGATTGTTGACGTGGAGCATAAACAAAATGTCTTATTCGTGGGGGCTAGGCAAATTCTAGAAAGCGTTCTCCAAGTGCCAAAAATTTGGGAAACATAGGGAGGATAACCTCCACAGAATATATTCTTCACAATTCAACCCAAACTCAGAGAATGGAAGTTGGCTTTCAGAAAATCTCGAAAGGAAGAAGTAGTATTGGCCCACTTATGCATTGATCACATGAGAATAACCCACTCATACTTGTTAAACAATGAAGATTAACCAGTGTGCCAAGCATGTGAAACTATTAAACATATATTATCCGAGTGTTCAGACCTTGCTCTCTCAAGATGAAAATGCTATAATTTAAACAACATATATGAGATCTTCAAGAAAACAAAACTGGATGACTATATCATTTCTTAGAACAGTGGGCCTCTGCCAAAAATATAAACTAAATGAGAATAAATAAAATCATTTCTCTGCAAACTGTATATCTACATCAATGAAACCAGACTCTTGATGAAAACCTCTTTTACAAAAAAAAAAAATCTGAAACCTGATTTAAAATGGATATTTAAAAAGAATACATATTCTATACATACAAATCTATTGAAAAATCTTGTCAGACCCATTGAGGTGTTGATATATGCCACAAAACAAAAAACTGTTATTTTATTATTCTCTCTTAATAATATTTCAATATATATATATATATATATAATATATATATATATATAAACGATACTACTTATAAAGATATCAAACTACCTGTCAAGGCAAATGGTTTTCCCCTTTGACACGTCCCAAACCGGGCTCTGACCTGAATGTAAAAAGGCGAATACTTTCTACATCAAATTAAATCAAAATAATAAAAGAGATGTTTTCAAACTCTGATTCAAAAAAGATTAAAACTCAATTTCTAAAACTTCTTGTGCTTGCGTCACTCAATGAAACTCGTCTAGCAAAACTTTCCTTTTTGGATTGGATCCAGTAGGATTATCTTGGATTATCCGGTGTTAGAAAGAGTTTATTGAGAAATGGTAAAACACTAAAATAAAAATAAAAAAAAAACATGCAGAAAGTTTAATCACGAAAGAAACATCAAAATAAAACCTTCCCCTCATGAAAGACTGAACACTTCTAAAAGACGTTGAATTTAAAACCGGAGGAAATCAATTTAGAAAGCCTTAGGGCCAGTTACATAGAATCACGATAAAAAAGGAATAGAGAAATTATAAAAATAGAGACATATATCCTTCCTTTTGTCACATTTGAAATCCCTAGAAAAATAAAAAGTCAGGTAAATATTGAAGAAATGGAACAATATATTCCTGCTCCACTAAGGTGCTTCAAGTGCCAAATATTTGGGTAGGTTAGGGGGTAGCTGAAGGAGTTTTCCAACATGTAGAAAATATGATCAGAGGGATCAGAGCACACAGAAGAATGCCATGTGAAGTAAGATGTGGACGGAAATAGGAAAATCATCCAGCAGACTCATGATCATGACTTCCGGAAAAGGAAAATAGATTGTTGACAGCATAAACAAAATGTCTTATTCGTGGGGGCTAGAAATTCTAGAAAGCGTTCTCCAAGTGCCAAAAATTTTGGGAAACATAGGAGGATAACCTCCACAGAATATATTCTTCACAATTCAACCCAAACTCAAGAATGGAAGTTGGCTTTCAGAAAATCTCGGAAAAGAAGGAGTATTGGCCCAGGGATGCATTGATCACATGAGAATAACCCACTCATACTTGTTAAACAATGAAGATTAACCAAAATGAACTGTTAAACTATTAAACATATATTATCCGAGTGTTCAGACCTTGCTCTCTCAAGATGAAAATGCTCAACATATATGAGATCTGAAAACAAAACTGGGATAAATCATTTCTTAGAACAGTGCCTCTGTTTAAGCTAAATGAGAATGTCATTAAAAATCAATTACACATCTACAAACTGTATATCTGAAAAGAATCCATCAATGAAACCAGACTCCCAACAAAACCCTCTTCACAAAAGTAGGACAATGAAATCTGAAAAGTGAATACATATTCTATTCATAAGTAATTATTGTAAAAATCTTGTCGGCATTAAATAACTCAATGAGGTTCATATGCTGTAAAAAAAGCAAGGCAATAAAGCCACTAAGGCGCAGTGGATTACTGAGTGTTAGAGAATATGAGGAAAAACACTATTAAGGAGAGACAATAAAATAATTACAAGGATAGCAATTGACGTTGTATTTAAAAATTAATTTAATTTACATGAAGTTCATGTTGTAGGGATAATTTTTAATCAGTATGACCCCAAGCAAAACAGTACAGCCATTAGCACGCAGTGGGTCACATTGTGTGGAGGAAATAGGAATGAAGAGAAAGAAAATAGCAATCAGAAGGACAGTAGATAGCGACTGATCGGACCATATATGCCTGCAATATTTCGAGCATGGATGAATGGTACGCTTATAGATATGCCAGAGAGATTCACAGTGAACCGACTTTCTTAGCAGCTGATCTGGCGACGGATTCAATGTAATCTTTCCATCTCATGTCAGCTGAGAACGTTAGCTCGAGAAGGCATTGAGCTACTTTCTTGGAGGATAGCATCAGCCATGCTGGTGGAAGGCGGAGAAGGGTCTGTCAGATGATTAATGGAGAGAAGTTTAGTTTTGGATACATTAAAATTGACAGGCCATCTTTTGCGACAGTTAACGACGGTCTTGATGTCATTTTGTACATCGGCTGCCATTTTGACCTTGTCTGACTCAGCAGCCTTGCTATCGAGGCAGAAGTAAATTAAAAGTCATTAATGAAGATTAAAAACAGCGTAGGACCAAGGATGGAACCCCGGGGAACACCCGCATTAGTACGAAAGGATCTAGACGATTGGCCGTTCAGGACAACTTTCATTTCAAGATTTGTAGGAAGGACTGGATCAGCTCAAAAATGTACCTGGAGATGCCGTAGGTTTTAAGCTTGTGGAAAAGACCCGAACGCCAGACTCTGTCAAAGCCTTTCGAACTGTCCAATGCTACAGCCGGATTTTTTTTATCGAAAGCATGATAGACTCTTTCCGAAATTATCGTTATACATCAGCAGTTGATCAGGAGAAACGAAAGCCGTATACTTGCCTTAGAAAAGGCCTTGCGATTAGAGATGATGAACCAATTCAGTATTAAGGCCTCCAGGAGTTTCTCCAAAAAAAGGCAGAACGTTAATAGGCCAATATAGAGTCAGATTATTTCTTGTACGTCCACGGAAGTTAAGAAACGTCGACCCTGGTCACTATATGGATAACAAGTGGTATAACCTTGGATCTGTGGATGGTGTATAACAGCTTGGAAATTGAAATCGGAGAGCCGAGTTCAATTTCCATTTAATTTCGTTATATTCACTTACGCGCAAATAACCTTGAATAATGTATAAATCCAAATATTCTCCCCAGCTATGGGTTAATTAGTACGACTTGTGTCAGTGAATCATTATTATCTCAAATGCATTCTTACCATCTATAAATATTTTCTAGCTTTAAACGGTTGATAAGCCGTAAAAAACAAATAAATCAATCAATCACACACACACACACATACACATCTTTTTTGCCACATCTGTATCTTTTATGGAATTTTTCTTTTTGATTTGCTTTTTCTATGAATGATTTCCTGTTAATCACATTCTGTCATTGGATCTTTTCTCTCAATTTACCCCCCCCCAAAAAAAAAAATTATATTACTAAAATTCACACCAAATTCTCCCAGAGCGAGACACTTCCATTGCACTCCGGTTGGGTTGACATTTGCGATCGCCCACAAATGTGGCAAATCCGGTGCACTATTTCTAAATGTGGGGTCTTCGTCCGCGCTCACACCGATAAAAAAACAAAAACAGTTTTTTTTTTGTTTTTTTTTTTAATTGTAAAAATTCATTGTAAGTAGCTGGAATATCATCTACATGTACGAAATGTGAATAACTCGCTGATATTTGATAATTTTTCATTCTGAGGGCAGTAGTTATTGCGAGTCAAGCTAAATAAATTTTGATTTAAAATTTATAATTTCTTGGGTGAATTAATATTTGCGAGAACTACATTTACACAATTTGGGGAGAATTAACAGAAAAGACCCCTGTCATATCTACCCTACAAATGACAACAAGATATACTAGTAAACATATAAATTGATCTTTTGCTGTGGATGCAGAATATGGTTTTGTCGATTTCGTTTTCAACAACGCAACGTGACTCCAGTTCAGGCCGATTTGTACTCATGACACCAGTGTTTACATCGCGTGACTGAAATCCACCCTCGAGTTCAACTGGTAGCGGGCGTCAACCCGTCCCCCACTCCACGCGCTTGTCTCATTTTTACCCCCGTATGGCTCACCTGTCCAACCCCAGTCAAGGACGCCTTTGTCCGAACGCCTTTTCCTCAGTCCCAGCCGCCTGATCTTGAGGAGCGAACAGCTTTCACTCAGACCGACAGTATTTGGGAATAGATCTTTGGGAAGGAAGCGAGGAATTTGCTTCCTGATCATTGGTCTTTGAGAGCGCACCTGCAGAGGCCATTTCCTTTGCATGCGAATGGAATCGAAAGCAAGAAACTTTGTTAAGTGCACTCAAAGACACTCAACGCCACCCCAACTTCTCTCTCTCTCTCTCTCTCTCTCTCTCGGTTTCATTCTGTTTCTTTTTTTATATTCTATCTATCTATCTATCTATCTATCTATCTATCTATCTATCTATCTATCTATCTATTATTACTAGTCATGTCTGTCGATCTAAATCTATCTATCTATCTATCTATCTATCTATCTTTATTTTATTTATCCATTAATGCTGTTTTCACACTTTAAGATTTAAAAAAAATTATTTATTTATCTATCTATCTATTTCACTATCTATCTATTTAAAAAAAATCTATCTATCTATCTATCTATCTATCTATCTATCTATCTATCTATCTATCTAGTTCTTTCTTTCTATCTTTGCCTTTTCTTTTTTCTCTTTCCTTTTCTTTTTCCTTTCTTTCTTTCTTTCTTTCTTTGTCATTTCATAATCTAAATCTCTGTATCTCTGTATCTCTGTATCTATCTATCTATCTATCTATCTATCTATCTATCTATCTATCTATCTATCTATCTATGCCAGTTCTTTCTTTCTTTCTTTCTTTCTTTCTTTCTTTCTTTTTTTTCTTTCTTTCTTTTTCCTTGTCATTTCATTCTTTCTAAATTTCTTTGTCATTTCTAATCTATCTATCTATCTATCTATCTATCTATCTATCTATCTATCTATCTATCTATGCCAGTTCTTTCTTTCTTTCTTTCTTTCTTTCTTTCTTTCTTTCTTTCTTTCCTTTTCTTTTTCCTCTTCTTTCTTTCTTTCTTTCTTTCTTTCTTTGTCATTTCATAATCTAAATATCTGTATCTCTGTACCTATCTATCTATCTATCTATCTATCTATCTATCTATCTATCTATCTATCTATCTATGGCTTTCTTCCTGTCCGGATGCATGTCTATGACTTTGTTTATGGCTGCCTCTTCACTTCATATCTCTTTATCTACCGTGTTGCCAGTTCATATCGTTGGATAGTCGGATATATAAAAAACATGCATACACCACACATATATATATATATATATATATATATATATATATATATATATATATATATATATATATATATATATATACTATTTATGCATGTTTCATTAAAAACGACAGACAAGGTACTACGGTTAAGCATTTTATTTAATTTTTTATCCTATAAATACAGCATAACTTATATATATATATATATATATATATATATATATATATATATATATAGATATATATATATATATATATATAGATAATAAGTAGATTTGGTGAGAATTAGCTTGTACCATCAACAGTGCTGATAGAAACTCCCTATTTTATGTATGATGGACTTTGCAATCTTGTAAAAATTATAGTTAGACGGGAGAGTCCATTATAAATAAAATAGGGAGTTACTTTTCAATCATCCTCGCTATATATATATAGAAACATAAGAAAGCGGAAACGAAATAGCAACAAATGTCAACAATTAAAAGAAAAGACGAAAGAGAAAAAAAAAAAAAGAGAGAGAGAAAAGGTGTGATTCTAAAGTGGATAAAAAAGACGTAAAGGATACATAATCCTACACATGCGCACATCCTTGCCGATGTCCGCATGGAAATACGGGAACGAATGCACACACTCTTAAAAAAAAACTTGCACTAATGATAAGTACATACAAAAAAGAAAAATCGAGAAGTATAAGCAGACAATTGCTGATAATACTTATGAGTAGATGGACGATACTGTCTACATGTTGTAGAGTGGTTTCACAGTGGAGGCATGTATTTGTACTAAGTCGGTCCTAAAATAGGTTCGACGTACAAAACGTTAGGAACTTGATATAATAGGTAATGACGCAGAGAAATCTAGTGGTGGTCGCTGATACTTTTAGTATCCGACTAACGGTCGTCCGACATCGATTGACTGACCAACGATATTTAGTCAACCCCCACGAGGGCATCATGTGGCACAAGGCCGATTTAACGTGGGATCTCCGAGCCCGTGGGCTCGGCCAAAAATATGCCCATTGAACCCGTATAAACGGGTTCAGGGTCGGTTTACCTCCCCGAAAGAGACTTCACCCGCCCTTCGGCGTAGCCTTTTTCGGGATCCTCCCCGCCCGAAGGCAGAGAGTTCAACCGATCAGCCAGTCGACTGACTGACCAACTCCCTGAGCGACTTAGCGACTCCTACTTATTATAGGTGGGAGAGTCTATTAACTATAGAATAGGTGTGTTCCACTATTCGTAATAGTTTCTTTATGTGATGCAGAAGAGAAAACAATGTAAAGAATTATATTTCGTATTTTTAAAGGAAACTGAAATAACGGTTACCCATAAAACTCACACTCGAGTCCCGTAGACTTCCCTGGGGACTATGGGACCCCAATCCTCAGTAACATTCGACTTTGCTTTATGTGGTTTCCGTAGCAAGTAGTTTTCGTATCACCCCACGCAAGGCCGTAATCGGTAATCGGTATCACCCCATGCAAGGCCGTAAAGTCACTAAGACACCAGGGGTTATAAGGTGTGGAAGATTTAGGAACGGAAACCTTTATCATGAGCGGGAAGAGAAAAGAGTAATCAGAAGGACAGTAGATAGCAACTGACATTGCATTTAAGTGCGAGAGAAGAAACTGTTAGCATAGAACTTACGGCTACATCTAGCCAGCTCATCTTTAAATTGATGAGTTCTAATAAAGACTAGATATCATAGCGAAGATCGATATTTAATTGTATAAAAATACAAAATGTGGGACAAGGCCAAAATGGGGAATGGGGAAAACGATGGTCTTCTGTTTTAACTTTAAACTCAGCTAGCTACAAAACTGACCCAAATATAACACAATATGCCTAATACCAAAGCAACACATTCTCACTTACCATTCTTATTACATCCACCATAATACTTCATTGTCTCTATAAAAGTCCAAACTAGTCTCCATATATAAAGGGTGTTTCATTAAGAGGGATTATATATAAAGGGTGTTTCATTAAGAGGGATCAAAGTCAGCAGTAAATAAATCAGTGTTCTTAGTGAAAATTTATTCATTTCTCTATTGGATCATGTTATTTAAGTCATGGCAATTATGTTTGAAAAATAATATCGCCCCAAATGTCCGCCAAATCTGAAAGAAAAAGGAATATCATTAGACGCTTAAACTTAATTCACATTTAAAATCGATCGAAGTTATTGGAAAGCCTTTTAAAGTTCTTATCTGTGGCGGGGTGGGGGATAATATATAACAGTAATTTGAAATTTAAACACCATAGCGAAGTGGTCATTCAAACAATTACCATGAAAGTATTTATAGAAAAGGCACAGAGAGGCAACCTTATGGCGGTGGGAAAGCGGCTGAAGCCGAGCAGCTAGATCAGAACCAATAATATTACTGATTCTTCTTTGGATCTTATTAAAGAGCTTCAGGTAAATAAAAGGGGCACCGGACCATATTTGGCAGTAATATTCTAAGCATGGACGAATGGTAGACTTATAGATATGCAAGATAGAGTCTGGAGAGAAAAACTGTCAAGCACGACAGAGTGGACCAAATTTCTTGTTTGGTCTCTTAATGTTGTGAATTCCGAGATGAAATTCGGTCTCCAAAGAATGACAAACGTAAGAATTAAGGATAAGAAATTAAATGCATTTACGCAATAATACAATGAGTATATTGTTGTTAGTAAATCCAGGAACGCGGTTAGTCGTAATAATAATAATAATAATAATAATATATATATATATATATATATATATATATATATATATATATATATAGTCTCAAGTAGGACTTCCTTAGAGTCTACGTGCTTGTAACTGACTTCTACAAGCTGTTACCTCACACTGTTACTCTACCTCCAACTCAATCACAATCTCTGCTCTCTTTCTCTCCCCAATCTCTATATTCTGACTGACTCTGGGCATTTAACGGCAGCTGTCCAAGTAACGCTTTGGTCGAGTCCACTTATATGAAAAAAGGGTGGACCCCATAACACTTAAAAAAGAAACTCGCATGACACACGAGATACATGATAGAATTATTTTTTATGAGAGGGAAATTTTTTTTGTGGGGGGGGGGGGGGCTGTGCACATGATACGCGAAATCGCGCGTTACACGAGTATATACGGTACTTGGAAACTAATGCTAACAATAAGAACTTGCTGAAATTCTTGGTATGTCGAAAGATGCCTTCCAGAACGTAAGTAAAATGTTAAAAGATAGGAAAATATCCGAAACTTAAGGCTTTGTGCCTGCGAAAAATAAAGAAATAAATAAAAAGTAAAAATAAAATAAAAAGTAAAATAAAATAAAATAAAAAGAGAGAGGAATAAAAAAAACAAAAAGTAAAAAAAATAAAATAAAATAAAAAGTAAAAAAAAATAAAAAGTAAAAAAAAATAAAATAAAATAAAAAGTAAAAAAAAAATAAAATAAAAAATAAAAAAAAATAAAAAAATAAAAAGTAAAAAAGACGTTTTTTCCTTGACGCTGCTACTATTTTAACTACCTTCACTCTTCGGCAATGTTTATTGTTTTAAAAAGTTATGACTATAATAAATACAAAACATATGATGGAAGTGAATTCATGCATTTTTTCGATATTGAGAATTTACAACAAAAATACTAAACAGTATTTATCTATTAGATTGTTTATTTAGAAGAATAATTTTATATTTACAACATTCTAAAAACTAATACAAATAAAACGAATGCAATGCAATATTTATCATTTACCAATTTCTAAAGAAATAAATATGAAATCTGTTTATTCATAAATTTGTAAACATTTTACTTAAGGATACATGGCATAGTAGATAAAGGTCTTGGTTAGATCCAGTGACAGGACCCAAAGAGTGTGAGTTCAATACCTGGTTAAGGTGATTGAAAACTTGGAGAGAGGAATTAACAGGACATAATTGATAACTGACAGACATTGCACGTTGAACTAGAACAGTCTACCACAGTGAGCGAAATAAAGGGTTCAGTTAGACATTCCAACCACCTGAAGAAGGCCGGCGCGTACAACGGCCGAAACGTTGGGATAAATATGGCAACAAAGATGAAGACAATAGTCCGAGTAATGTAAATAGTGGACATAATACCTCATCTCAGAAATATAGACGGATATTTACTAAATTATTAAAATATGTGAATCGACTATAAGGAAATTCTTATTTGCCATTTTATAAAGTTTGAATCAAATGTTGAAGCGATGTTTTGCCAACCATTTCAATAAATAATCTAATAAATAAATACTGTTTATTATTTTTGTTGTCTATTCTCAAGAACAAAATATGTATAAATTCATTTTGATCATATGTTTAGGTTTTATTACAATTTTAATCACCGTTTTTAAAACAATAAACATTGCCGAGGAGTGAAGGTAGTTAAAATAATAGCGGTGTCAAGGGAAAAAATGTCCTTTTGACACAGTCTTTCTTTGCTGGCACGAAAGCCTAAGTTTGCGAAAATATCTTTAGAAACAAAGAAGAGTTCAGAATTGCTATAATGTCCTATTGTCCTATTTAGACTCTGGTATGTTTGCGAATGCTGAACAATTTTCTTAAAGATGAAGAATAGATTTGAAGAACTGGAGATGTGGTTCTACTTGATGAAAGATGCAAAGGACAAAATACTGAATTCAAACTGGAATCGTTCTCTTGTGACAGAATACTCAATATATATCTGCGAAAGGTTTTCTTTTATCAAACTGCATTTTGAAACTTTCAGTGTCAGCCTAATATTAATGTGAAAGTCATCAATTCGGGATTCTGTGAGACCATATCTAAAAATATTTCTTTTGAAAAAGAATGTTTCTCTACGATGACTTTTTTTTTTTTAATATCTTTTCTCTTCTCATTTTTTTTTCTTTCTTTTTGTGTCTGCACATGTCTTCCGTCATTGGAATGGGATTTAAATTTTTTTTTTTTCAGCTCAAAGAACACTAGACTACTGATCCTTTTCAATTTCAGGATGGAAAGTGAATTCTT